GAAATTGTTTTTCCTTACGAAAATATGTGTTCAGGTGTCCTATTTCAAATGCTAAAAATCGTAAGTCTCTACCTATCTTGTATCAAAAGTTATTCAAAAAATGACTAGGGCTCTTGTATTTTGGAACAGATAGTAATCTGAAAATAGTCAGAAAATGAGTTAATGATTTAAGTTTATAGACATCGGTTTGATTCTTAACTCATTTCTCTATATTATTATTTCTTCTAACATTTATACTTATTCTATACTTTCAGGTAATGATATTGGCACTCAATATCGTTCGGTAATATTTTATCATGATGATATACAAAAAAAAAGAAGCAGAATTAATGAAACGTCATATTGAAGATGAAAAAAGTCTATAAAAATCCGGTTGTTACTGAAATATTACCAATTGACAAGTATCCATTTTATAAAGGTGAAGATTATCATCAAGATTATTATAATCAGAATCCAACGCAAGGTTATTGTTCATCGATAGTCAAATCAAAAGTAGATAAATTTGTTAAAAAATATCAAGATTTATTAAAAAATAATGTTCAAAACCAATAAATAAATTAGTGTAATACGAAAAATGACGACAGCTTTTTTGTTGTTGTTTGTCTGTCTGTCTGTTTCTCTCATTATTATTATTATATATTATTTAAGCAATAATTTAGTACCGCCTTCATTTACTCGCTCATTCAAAGATTTATGAATCTTTTTTTTGTTGTTAATTGTTACGTGGTGTATGTAGTAGTATTGTGATTTTTGTAAAATGAAACTGAAAAGTTTTTCAAAATGAATTTTAATCTTAGTCAATCGTACATTGTTGTTCATACTTTTGTAGCATAAGATAAGGAAGATGAGTAGAAGAAAATGATTCACTTTTTGTCGACGATGCTCGTATGATCAAAAATAATGGGCACTTTACAATATACTATAGCGATTTTAGTCAGTAAAATTTCACTTTTGTCATTTAGTTGTCGAAAGAATACTGACGGGGAAATAGGCATTTTTTTTCTCTTCCGATTCATGTCCTTTTTAATAATGATTAAGACTTTCAAAATAAATAAATAAACAGCAAGTGAGTGTAAGTTGGGCACATACCAAGCGTAATACGTCATAAAAAAAATTTGGATATGTGTTGGTTTGATTACTCAAAATTTGTGACGAATGGGTATTTTCATATCTAGGACATTAATAAAAGTTATCGGTCTAGATTGTGAAAAATTCTAATTTGGATTTATCATCATGCCGTTTATTGTGCTTACTTTCATTATAAAAGTTTTTAAGTAAGAACGTCAGTTTTTTATTATTTTAACATATAAAATGTACAGACATTTAATGTGAGGATTATCACAATGTTTACTGTTTTTTCAGTTAAATCAAACGTTTTGGACATTTTTTATGTTATTTTTATCAAATTCTGCGTTAATTATATTCAATACTCAAATTTGCGATATATTTGGCAGTTCCAACAGTGACAAGCGTGTTTATTATTTTATTTAACCGAGAGAGGACCACAGTAACAAATTTCAAAAGATTCGTGTAGGATTCGAACCTGTGACCAAAAGAATATGTTTGTTTACCGAGACTCTTACCCAACTGAACTACGAATACATGTACATTAACTATTGTTTTACGTACTATAGATGAAAAACAGAATAGAAAAATTTCCTTTTTGAATTATTAATATTGCTTGTTATTTATCACTTAATAACTCCATGTACAAGCTGTTGAATTCTACGACCGAATCTCATGTTTACTAAATATGCAAAATTTCTTTTGACGAGGTATTAAAATAGTGACAAAAATCAACAGACTCAATTAATACATCAATTTTTCTGTTACAAAAAATTTCCACCAGAATATCTGAATGTAATCACAGTTGCATTCTATAAATACATGGAAAAAGGAGCCTTTTTTGAAGGAACAAATCATGTAAAGCAATTTTTAATTTGTTTATCAAACGATTAGAATTATTAGAACGATTAGAACTCTAGAAACTATGTTCGACATGTTTTTACGGCGGAAGCGAATTGGGTACTGTATGAAAGCATCTAATTCCGATATTTTGGTTTGGAACAGTACTTTAAAATAAAAAAAAGACATTTACAAAGACATAAGTAAGCTATTCGCGGATTTTGATACCCTCTCAGTATTTTGCGCTTTTCTCCGTGAAAACTCTCAAACCGAAAACACAAGGACATATTCGTCATCCGCGTGAAAAACTGTATGTTTATGCTAACAATAAAAAGTGTTGTAACTTTGAATTATCGACGCCTTACCTTTTTAGGCTAATATATAGTGTGTAGTGCGCAATAGCTATATGCAGTTATCTAGCATATGTGAAAGACGTCTGTAGAAAGACGTTATCGTTTTGTGCCTGTGTTTCGATAAAATTTTCATGACTATGGTGCCTTGACAGGAACTATATTCTAAATAAGTCCACGTTGCTATCAAAGAGAACAGATGTGTGACAATGATCTGTAACCCTTAGCAACAGGGATTTTTTCTAGTTGGTATTATTAAATATAATTATGATAACTATGATATTATAGTCTATATGTTTAAATATTTTATGCAATCTAATTTTAAATAATAAACCATAATGTTTTGGGAATTTTGGTATTATAACTTGTAAGAATTTACTCATGTAATATTTACAATGATTTGTTTTTGAACTATTTTAGGGGCTCATTAGAGCCTTGTCCTTTTATCGTTATCTTTTGAAATAGATACAAAGAAACATCGTATTTGAACACAAAACACAAGCTCATAGTGGAACTACGTAAGCTAGTAAGAAAAATTTCAAATCACTGACGTAGGAGCTAACTTGGAAAAGTTGACACTTCATGCGACTTGTGGTTTAGAAACCCGTTGCTTGCCCAGTTCTGCATTCCACTTAGTTTTCCATCTCACAAAACAACAAGTGTTTAAGGTGAATAATTTGAGTAAAACTAATAAGATTCATCCAACCTTTTTTATCAGTTTTTAAAGTAGACAAAACTTTATTGAGATGTTTCATTCTTCACTCATAACATCGCCAGTCAAAATGATACATATGTAAAAAACCAGAAGGCTATATATGAGTGATTCTCATAAAAATAGTACCGTTTTTGTGAAAAAATTTGACTCAAACAAAAGGTAAACACCTAGGTTTTTTCTTATCATATATCAATTGTGCGTACCTAGGAGTATCACAAAATACGGGTTAGCAAACTATCACTACTTTGTTTTCCAGATTTGAAAAACATTTTTCTATTATCGGCGTCAAAACACCGTGCACTTGGTTGCGTTTTGAATATCTTTCGATAGAAAAGAGCTAGCGAGCTCCGATTTTCGCCACTCGAAAGAGGAGACTTGAGGGCATATCTCCATAACCAAAATTGTTTTCATAACAGTTTTCTAAAACAGGTTTTCTAGGAGATCTTTGAAAAACTATGCCGTCTGTAAACATTTTCCAATAGGATTATATTGCTTTTTGCTCATGGGCTGATAGCCTGGGATGTCCTGTTCAAAATGGGAGTAAAGTGAGATCTTGATTTTCCGCGGTTCGGGCGTTGTATCAGATTTTCTACGAGTTCCAGCACTGGCACCCGGTGACTATTGGTAGCCTTAAAGACGGATGGGCCATGGGTAATCGACCATGCTGAGTTTTGT